AACTATGTTGAGATTTACTCACCTTTGAGAGATTGTGAAGTGACGCGCTTGTCTTACAGTCATTCTTTTCTATAAAAACAGAAAGAAAAATCTTTATATCCGTTACGATCTCTTAGTAAATTCTTTTACGAACTTCCTGCCAATATCATTCCATTCTTCCGGTCTTTTTCTGTAAAAATACCGTTAGACATATATTCCGAACATCCGACCTTGTTCATTACGATCTCCGATTGCTACATCAGATATAGCAAGAAGCATTCTATTCCGAACACCCGGACACATGCCCGGAGTTTGGAATGACTTGAGACGAAAAGTACGTCACCCGCAACACTATGAGAAAAATGAGACGTGAAAAACTACTCAATAGTAGGTAAGCAAATGAAATTCAAGAAAATGATTGAAGAAGAGCATATGTATTATATAATATTAGGCTGAGTTTTGTGTTTTCGCAATAAACTCAAGTTTCTTGATTAGATTCAACTCAAGTCTTACTACTACCAAGTACTTGGGCGCTCTTCAGAGATGAAAGGCTGTCGACTTCAGCTGTGCATCCGTTTGAAGAAAATGTTTTTATCGTCTTCTGGTCCAGCTTAGACAATGAAAAATAAAATACTCATATTTGACGAAATATTTTCTTTTAAAGTAGCATCTTCAAAGATTTTGAGAAAAATCTTTCGTTGGCAACTGATTATCGTACGATCCCCTATAATTTGGTCCGATGCAGCTGAAAACTTTTTCAAATTTACCGAGATAAAAATCTTACTTTTGAAATAAAAGGACTTTTTTTTATTATCCAAAAGCTACATGAAGTTCAAGTTCACGGACTGCTAATCGAATGATCCATAGTAACCACAGCGATCTTATGACGAAGAAGCGCATGCAAAAATTCACACCTAGTGAAATTTTCATCAATAAAATTCATATCTGTTGGAGATTAGGCGAATTTTCGTTGAATGAGATGACTGAAACTTGACCAACAAACGTTTTATAGGAATATGTGATGTAAAACCTCATCCATAGACTAAAATAGTGGTTTTCAATTTCTTCTCACTGGAAGTTAATTTCAATGTAACGCTGTTGGATGGGTGTGGGTGTGAGCGTGCTATGTAGTCTCCTCCCATGCAGTCATAAGCACATCCACACCCACACACCCTCCTACTTTCTATTGAAAGAAAGAAAAAACCAATAATTTTTCGTACTAATGACTCATGTAATACATAATATATACTTCTATCTCCCTCTAAAATGCAATTCCACCTATCTTGACAATGATATTAGATATATCGAAACGTCGACAAAATATTATTATTATGAAGAAAAAATAGATAAATAAATAAATAAAATAAATTTAAGCAGCTGTTAAAAAAGAAATTAGTCTTTCATTAAGTAACTAGTTCATTAGCAGATCAATTAGTTGCCATCTCAGTTGGTTACTAAGTGGATTAAACCTGTTGGTTTTTGTCGAAAGTGTAAGTGCAGATGGTGAGAAGAAACAGGTTCACACCCTAAGTTGAGTACCAACCGAGATGGTAACCCATCAATTTGATAATGAACTAATTAATCATAATAAAATGTTATATATAGAGAGACGATCATATCTGATACACACTCGTTTTCGATTATGAATTCATTCTACGATATTGAGCTCGACGAAAATGAAGTAATTCTCATTATTCTGCCATTGATTTGTATCAGGCGTTATACATTGTCTTCTATGGAGAGTTGCTCTTTTCTCTGAGACTCGAACCTGTAGACTTCACTTTTTCCATCTGACTATCTATTTGGCACTCAATCAAACATGCGTTCGTACATTGAGTTTTATATGCATTCGCATATTTACAGACAGAATGAAGAAAGCGAATGTTGACTGAATTAATTTGAAAATATCAAGGAATGTGAAAATTAGCGAAATGGCTCTCTCGGTTATGAGAAGCTCCCCATGGAATAAATTTGAAAACTGTTCAAGAGAACTGAATTAGGTCAAGATAGTTAGAGTTTTGTGCGGTATCTGAATTTGAAACAACGGTGTTCATGCATGTCTTGCTCTTCTTAAATTGGTAGATATGGTGCTCCTTTGACTGTTATGAATGATATCATCCGCTGTATCTGCCGATTTGAAAGAGACAAGGCATGTGTGACTATGATTCTTTCAGATTGAGAGAAGGTTCGGTGGATTCAAAGTTGAAGTTGTGAGTGTGAAACTTCTTTTCAACTATAATCATGTCTATAGTCTCGCAAAAGTACGAAAGATATTATTTTTAATTTTAGCGTAGACCACAGTTGAAAGCCTATCAGCTTTTCTTAAGGTATTCACAAATGATATGTCAGTTTTTTAACTCTATTCTCCTTTCAATCACATAAGTCAAACTAATATAAATACTTTCAATAGTTTTGAGTTTCCTGCATCCGCGTATTATAAGAAAACTCTTTGTTTGTTCCAGTTCTTTTGAATATTAGGACTTCTATTTAGACCAACAACAAGCCACCGTACCATCTTCTGAAAAACAACTTGATATGGTGTATTTCTTTGTCATATGATCTTGAATGAATTGCTCAATTTGAAGGGTTGATTCACAGTAAAGAAGGCAGATGTATAGAATATTTGTTAGGACTATTTATTTGCCATATGATCATTTATCAACTGATCGACAAAAGATGTTCATTTTGAAGAGAGTGAAATCGAAGACCAAAACTTTGGAGGTCGGGCTTGCTCTAAGTGTTAAGAGGATTCGTTTTTTATGCATTCTTTAATCTACTGCTCAAGTTAAATTCATTGGATCTTACGGAGTAAAATAGATGGCCAAGCAGTGGTTGTTGTCGTTATGTTTACTCATTTGCCATATGATTTTCTATTAATGCGAATCCATCGTTTCGAACTGATTACAATGAACGAAATAGGTGCATATACCAATGATTGGTATCATGATCATGGCACCGAGCGTAAATATTGAAATTATTCAGATGCTATGTAATCACCAATCACCTTTACATATCGAAAGTTTCCGTTCAAAATGAGCAATAAAAGTGAAGAAAATGATCAAAAAACTGCTGATGCGCATTATTCATGTTACATGTGATAATCTATCATCTAAGCACCACAGAAGCTCTCTTCATAATGAAGAAATCAATTGAACAAAATTCTGCTACTTGTCGTTATATATATTCATTTGTTACATGATTATAAATCGATCGAATATGACTCAACATTTTTTTTGAAGTAAGAAAAATATTTGAGAAATATAATGGCGGCTTTTTTGGTGAGAAATATTTCTTTATCATGCAATCTTCAATCAGTTCAGTAACATACTAACTGCATTTAGAACTGAGCCATGTAGATGAACTGAATAATCCTGGTTATCATCAGAAATAGTCATTTATCATGTGGTTTTCAATTAGTGAAGAATTTTCAGATTTTACGTCGAAATGAGAAAAATAGACAATCAAAACTCTTATTATCATATGAAATATTCATGTTCAATGTGACATTCGATCAACTGAACAACCTGCAAACTTTATTTCGAGATGACTAAAATAGATGAACAAAACTGTTATTATAAATATTCATTTCCTATGTGACTTTCACTCAACTAAATAAATCGCAAACGCTACTTGGAACTGAGAAAAATTGATTAACAAACCAGTCATGGTGAGAATATGCATTTTTCATGAGGTCTTGGATCGTTTGAACATTTTTTTTTAAACATCACTTCGATATGTCTACAATAGTTGAATAAAGCAATGTTGGTAAGACAATTCATGTGCCATATGATCATGGTTCAACTGAAAGATTCGCAACTTTTGCTTCGAAATAAGCGAAGCAAATGATCAAAGCAATAATTATTATAGGTATTCGTTTACCACGTTCTTTTTTATCAGTTGAGCAACAAATAAACTTTGCTTCACAATGAGCAAAATAGCTTACCAGAAGTCTTATTGTTAGAAATATTCATTTTTAGTGTGGTGCTCGACCAGCAGAGTCATGAACAAGTTTGCTTCGAAATGATCGGAATAGATGATGAGAATCATGGTCCGTATATGAAATATTCATTTTTCATGCGATTTTTCATCAGTTGAGCAACTCGAAAACTTTCCTTCAAAGTAAACAGAAAAAATGAGCCGAACGATCCTGAAACATGTTGGTTTGCCATAGGATCCTGGGTCACTTCAGCAACTAGGCGGTTTATTTCGAAGTGAGGAAAATAAGCGAATAGGAACATCCACGTCTATGTGCTTGCGATGATAATGATGGAAAATAACAGTATCTATTAGAACTTTCGTATTTTTTTTTAATATTACTAATGCTTATCATCTGATTCCATAAATATTCGAAATATATAATTAAAACGATATCATAGATTATTGATGAGTGAAGCACAATTTCTTTTTCTGCCTATCTCACTTACAGGTGGATTCTTCAATAGACCTCGCCTCGTCAGTTCTAATATTGTCACAGTTACAAAATATGATCATTTGATTGTAAAGTTTAATCAAAAAACAGCCCAAAGTAATTTCGAATAAAGAGTTCTCGGTCGATAAAAATACCATATTCGGAATTCGCGTAGTTAATTTTTGCCGTCATTGTTGAAATCTCGAGAGCATACTTCTGACTACAAATAAAGAAAAACAGTTAACAAAATGAGGGAAGAACAATGGAAAAAGAACAGGGAATATAAAATGCTTCGCACTAGATTCAAATCATCTCTCATTCGTTAAACCTCTTTTATACCTAATGCATACTCAGATACAACATCATCATTGAGTATGATGAAAATCTTTATAGTTCACATATATATCGTCAACTTCGTCTAACATTCGTCATTTTTACACGGTCGAGATAAGTCGCTTTTCTATCTTGTCGGTTACGTACATTTTCTTTGTTCAACTCGTCGATTTTATTATTGTTATTAATTTATTACATCACACAATTTTCAAATTATTTTTGAAATTATTAATTAAGGTAATTATCTCCAGGTGTTATTACTTCAGGTGTTATCTTAATTATGCCTCCAAAAAAAGGAGGAACAGGTGCACACAAACAAATACAAAATAGTATTAATTTTACTAGTGCACAACAAGGTCAAACAGCAGTAGCTGATGTTGGAGGAACAATGACGATGAGTCATAGTCCAAGAACAATGGCTTCTGTAGGAACAAAGACTTCTTCAGGAACAAAGGCAGGACTGAAAAAGCAATCAAATTTTAGCACCGCTCCTCTAATTCTAGAAGGCGTAAAGCTAAATAAATTACAATTAAATGATGTCATCAAGCAGCATTTAAAGGACTTACGAATTTCTGATATTCAGCTAAGTCGAGCAGGAATTTTCACATTATATGCAACCGATGTCAGTTCATTTAATCGTCTATTAAATAAATTGACACCAATTCTTGCAACAAACGGTCAGACTACAGCAAAAATATATGTACCTCGATCTATTCAACGTATCAAAGATACGGAAAAAGTCGCGTTTGTTAAAAATGTCGACATAGAAATTCCTGAAAGTCGAATAACTGAAGCATTGAAGGATGTTGGCCTTGATGCTATTGATGTTGTTCGACTAACGAATAAAGTTAAAAACATACCAACCAAAACCATCAAAATCACATTTATTGATCCACAAAATCGAAACACCTTCGTACATACTCGTCTACAAGTGGACTCAATGCATTTTATTGCTGAACCAGCAAATCAAAATACTAAGCCGGTGCAATGTTACTTATGCCTTAAATACAATCATGTGGCAAAATACTGCAAAACAAAACAGCAGATATGTGTTCGATGTGGTGAAAATCATCGTATTGATCAATGTACTGCTGCTAGTGATGGATTAAAATGCTGCAATTGTAAAGGTAGTCATTTAGCAACATCAAACGAATGTGCAACATTTAAAGAACAAGAAAAGAGAATGCAAAATTTAATTTATCAATATTCATCCGCAAATAAACCAATAACAACAGCACCAGCAATACACGATCTTAATGAATTTCCATCATTACCAAACATCTTTCAACGTCAACAAGAACACCTACATAATGAATTCTTCGATGAAATTATTAATGCATTAAGCAGCAAAATGGAAAAAATCATCGAAAAAACAACAGGTCGATTATTCAAGAACCTGCAACAGAAGATCAAGAAAATCGAAAAGTCGATCGGCACTCACGGCAACAACCAAGAAGATGCTTTAACTGTCTCTGATTCTGATTCAAATGAAGAAGGTCAAGTAGTTAAGCATATCAACAACAAACAAAAACAAAATGCACAAACATCCAAATCAACCACTTCATCGATCGATATTTTAGCTAAACCAACAATAACTTCAAAAATAGCCTCATCGAAACCACCACAAAAGCAAAAAGAAGCAACAAAGTCGACCAAGAGAGTTCGCTCTCCTAACAGCTCTTTAGATGCATCGACATTTGATAGCAAAGATCTCAAAACAAGCAACAATGATGATTAGTTTATGTCACATTGACATCAACTCTATTATAAAACACAAAGATGAACTCCTAGCCAGATTCTCCAAATACAACATCATCTCTGTAAATGAAACTAATCTTAAGAGTGAACGTTCGTTCTCTTCAATGGGTTATAACATTTTCAGAAATGATCGAGTAGGAAAACTTGGTGGTGGAGTTTTATTAGCAGTGAAACAACACATTAAATGTCGAGAAGTACTTAACAAAACATCACACATGAATGAAATAATTGCAATTGAGGTTGAAACACAATTATTCAAGTCGATATTGATAGCCTCCATCTATGTTCCACCAACAGCAAAGATGGATCTTAAGATCTTCCAAGAATTGTATAACATCAACAACAACTGTATTATTGTAGGTGATCTCAATGCAACATTACATCACATGGGATCAGCCAAGGCAGATACAAGAGGAAGACAGCTGCAAGAATTATTTAAAGAAGGTTTTATTGAAGGTGTAGATGATGATACTCCAACATTTGAAAAGAATGACTATGAAGTTAAGCTCGACTAGCTTTTAGGTAGTCAGCCACTTCTATCTTTCACATCATATGCTGAAACATACCCACCAATTGGTACATCATGCGGACACAAACCATTAACCCTCGACATTTCCATTGGAGCTGAACCAAAACCAGCATCTTCAAGAATGTCATTTAATTTTAAAGCAGCAGAATGGTCAAAATTTCGAAGCAAATTAGATCAACAACTGATGCTATGGAATAATGATCGTCGTTTAGATTCAGCGTTAGATATAGAAGAATATACGCCGTTTACTACAAATTCCATATTAGTAGCAACACAAGAAGCTATTCCACTGTCCAAACAAACGAATACAAGACCTATGATAAGTGAAGTTACGAAGAGATTGATTACACAAAAACATCAAGCTTTTCGTCGATGGAAGAAGACTGGAGATTATCAACATAAAAATCAATATTATAACTCCAAAGTCTTATTAACAAATTCAATTATAAATGACAGAAGAGACAACTTTAACCAGTTAATGTCATCATTATGTCAAAAGGAAATGTATTCGGATAAAGTTCGGCAGACGGTTCGTAAGTTTCATAACAAACGAGGGTGGGTGTCGGTGGGGTGTGTATTTTAGAATAATCGCCGTTCCACGACAACAGTTGTTTCTGTCTTGGCGGGACTTCGTCAGGTGGATTTACTTAATATCATATCTATATAGGAATGTAATTCTTAAATAATTATGTGTAAATACATTTGAACTACACTGTGATAGATACAATAATTAATTTTATAGAATAAAGAATTGAAATTCAAAGCATCACACGACGCGTTTCGTCCTTGCTTAAGGGACTCATCAGGCATGTTTAGAATTTCATAATTACATGTAAGTCATAGCTCACACAAAGTTTTGGAGAAGTTATGGCTAAAACGTAATTAGATAAAAGACTCAATAGTATCATATAATTTAGAACTCAAGAATTGAAATTCAAAGCATCACAGTGAAATATAACTATCATATTTAGATTTCATCGATTTACATGATAGTTTGATCTACTTGGCGGAAGGGAGTGTTCGGGTTAGTAAAGAGTTATTCTATTGGAGGAATTTGTATGTGTCTCTAAGGTGCTGAGTTATTGAATTATTATTGAATTATTTTTGGATTTTAAAGTGGAAAGCTTACCTTCGTTGAGTGTTTTGTGAGTTGGTGAGGCTTCGATATGAATTGTACTTCATAGTTGTGTAATTTTTGTTGGATGTAGTGTAGCTGTTTTATCTAAAATAGGATTAATTTTATTTTGATGTAGTCATTTTTGTT